CCCGCCCCGGACATACAAAGCAAAGCATTCATGCTACATCCATGCTGGCTAAATATACTGTCTATGCTTGTAGCTGTCCATTCAAACGAAGTACACTGGATATAAACTCCCCAAACAGGCGAAAACCTACCAGTTTCACCCACTGTCTCTGCCACCTCCCCCCATGCCTGGCTCCTCCGGTTTGTATCCCTATATGTAAAGAGGGACTGGTCATATAGTACCGGGTGATTCCCTACCACCACGATAATTTTCTCCTCCATTTTTTGACATATGGGAAATAACTGCGGTCTGGCTCTCCCAACATACACGCGGTTTGATTGGCTAGCGCTTGTACTGTCAGATTTGCATACGCGGGATTTGATTGGCTGACGCCTCCGTCGAGGCGGCAAAAGTAGAACATTGCTCTACTTTTGCAGCGAGCACCGCGAGAGAAGCTACGCTTTGCTCCCACAATGCAGTTCGGCGAATCGTGACGTCACCCCATTCAAAGTGAATGGGCAGAAGCGTTGAAGCGGCAACGCACGCCGCCGTGTGTAGGGGCCCGATGGACAGCTGATAGGAATAATATGATTGTTAATATTATCATATTAATTCAGACAAACATCGATGAGACAGTTAATTAATGTACTTATTGCAGCAGTCTGCATATATTTGGTACCCCTGGTCTAAGAGTGAAACAAACTAATTCAGTTATTGTTCAGTTAAAATTCAAAAATATTTTTCTAGATCCACCCCTGAGCTATATTTTTCGTTTCGTTTATTTAATAAGTTAATTTCAGGACAACTTCGGGATTTTTTTTTTTTAGATTTAAATAGCTTTTGAAAGTGGAGATAGAGAGAGAGAGAGAAGCAGCGCCGTCTGCTTAGTTGCAATACTGTAGCTCAAGCCTTTATGCAACTTAGCTTAGGCCTATACATTGTTTATGTTACTTATATGCCAGTGGGTCCATGGTTTTAAGTCTGTGTGTGTGTTGAGCGCAGCGCCGTCTGCTTTTTGCAGCACAGTAACTAAAGTAGGACTAAGCATAGCGGTAGTTTTTTGTAGACCTGTCTGTCCGTTTTGTGAGTGCCCGTTTTGTGAGTGCACTGCGCGCGTGCGCACTAGTGGCATTGTTTGGGATGACCTAATTAAAATACCGTCCGCCGTGCTCTTTGAGAGACATACACAACGCAGACAGACACCGCTCACAAAAGCATCAGATAGGCTTCAATTTACTTTTGATTGTCTATAATTAACTGTAAAAAAATATCGGCGTTTTAACACTACGTTTATATATGCACTTATTTTTACGGTTTGCATATGAGGTGGTCCGCGAAAATCTTTGATAATAAATAGTGGTCCACATAAACAAAAAGTTTGAGAACCCCTGCCATACCATACATAGACAGATCACTTTAAATAGATACATTTCAGGTGTGTGTGTGTGTGTGTGTGTGTGTGTGTGTGTGTGTGTGTGTGTGTGTGTGTGTGTGTGTGTGTGTGTGTGTGTGTGTGTGTGTGTGTGTGTGTGTGTGTGTGTGTGTGCTCACCACATCGGGGTGTGAGCTGTTGGGCAGTCTCAGAGCTCGTCCGTAGTGCTCCTGGTCCAGCTCCGTCTCTTTGGGGTAGAGCTGGTTCAGTCTCTTGCGGGTCTCTCTCCCTTTCTGCAGAGCCTGGTTGAATTCTGGAAGCTGTGAGACAAAAAGAAAGAATCAGAACCTGGTCCCACATTACCACGGAGCAGGGCACAAAGTTTTAAATGTTAAAAATGCTAAAACTTACATTGCTGAGGCTCTTCTTGTCGCTCTTGGTCTGTGAGGAAAAGACGAATTATGTCACGGTTATAAATGCAGTTTTACTCAGATTATCTTTTCTAGCATTTGGGTTGGGTCTTTGTTGTAAATGTACATTTTCTCCCTGGTAATGGTGGTATTTCTTTGGATGTTTCCTGGGAGACAGAGGGTTTTGTATGCTGGACACACACCCTGAGACAAATGGGTAATCTGTGATGTTGGGCTATGTAAATAACATTTGATTGGTTGATTGATATTCTTCCAAACATATTCAATAGTTATTCGTAATGCCTGTCCAGGGGTCAGACTCCTTGTGAAATCAGTGTTTTGTTCACACTGGTCGCCACAAATAACCACAATAATCTGAGTTCCTTGTATTTGCTTTAAGTGAAAATGAAATCACATCCACAAATCAAGTCTCTATGTTCAAATCAATCAAAAAACTGACCACTAATGCTTTGACCGACTCCCCGATCTGAACCTTCTGCTGCTCCAGCCCAGAGATCTCCGTCCTCACCGCCTGCAGCTCCTGCCACACACACACCTGCACAATACACACATTTAAACACAGTTATTAGAAATAGCAGGAAAACAGTGGAAACCAAGTTACATTTTTCCACATTTCATAACCATGCTTTTGTTTGCTTATTATAGCTGTTATGTTTGTTTGCTTGTCTTTACATTGCATTTAGCTGACGCTTTTATCCAAAGCGACTTACAATAAGTGCGTTCGACCAACAAAATACAACCTTGAAGAAAACAGAATCATATAAGTACATCAGGCTTCATAGAGCAAAAACATTTCAAGTGCTACTCAACTGGCTTTAGGTAAGCCAGTCCTTCATTAGTATAAAAGTGCTTTGTTAATAGTTCTATTGCTCGAAGTGGAGTCGAAAGAGATGAGTTTTCAGTTTGCGCCGGAAGGTGTGCAAGCTATCTGCTGTCCTGATGTCAATGGGGAGCTCATTCCACCATCCTGGAGCCAGGATAGCAAACCCACGTGTTTTTGCTGATGGGAACTTGGGTCCCCTTCGCAGCGAGGGTGCAGCGAGTCATTTGGTTGATGCAGAGCGTAGTGCACGCGCTGGGGTGTACGGTTTAACCATGTCCTGGATGTAGGAAGGGCCAGATCCATTCGCAGCATGGTAAGCAAGTACCAGTGTCTTGAAGTGGATTCTAGCAGTTACCGGAAGCCAGTGAAGGGAGCGGAGGAGCGGAGTGGTGTGGGAACATTTAGGAAGGTTGAAGACCAGACGAGCCGCTGCATTCTGGATGAGCTGCAGAGGTCGGATGGCACATGCAGGTAGACCAGCCAGGAGGGAGTTGCAGTAGTCTAGGCGTGAGATGACGAGAGCCTGGACCAGAACCTGAGTCGCTTTCTGGGTCAGCTGGGGACGTATCTTCCCGATGTTGTAAAGCGTGTATCTGCAGCAACGGGTTGTAGCAGCGATGTTTGCAGTGAAGGACAGGTTGTTATCTAGGGTCACACCCAGATTCCTTGCAGTCTGAGTCGGGGAAACAACAGAGGTGCCGATGTTGATTGTTAGGTCAAGAGTGGGACAATCTTTTCCCGGGAGGAAGAGCAGCTCAGTCTTGTCAAGGTTGAGCTTGAGGTGGTGAGCAGACATCCACTGAGAGATGTCAGCTAGACAAGCAGAGATGCGTGCGACGACCTGGGTCAGAATTAATTGGGTGTCGTCAGCGTAGCAGTGGTATGAAAAACCATTGCTGTGATGCCAACTGGATATGATTATTATAGGTGTTACAAATGTAACCAGAAAACAGATTTATTACAGAATTGCATAGTCAGGTCACAGGAATACTTTGAATGACATGTTCTTATCTGACTTGAACATTGGGAGGGCATTTTAAAGTCCCCCTCCACTCAAAAATGTATTTGTTTTGCTTATTTTTACTTCATTTGACTCTCCTTGCAGAAACTATACTCAGTTTGACAACAGAAAGCTATTTTCCCATTATACCTCTGCAGGTATACATTTTGAAAGGTAAAAGTACTCTGATCTTGTGCTTTAGTAGAAGTAGAAGTAACACTTGGTTATATTTCACATCATTAATCCAAAATGTGTAAAGTAACTAAAGGTACTAAATAAATGTAGTGGAGTAAAAGTACAAAGTAGCAACAAATGACATACTGTAGTGTAGTAACTACAGTGTTTTTACAGTACATGTACTTAAGTTACTTTACACCACTGAATTAAAGTCTATGTTTTGGCTTCTAAGCATCCAACCTACTAAGCATCCAACCAGCCAACTGTCAACCCCAGAAATAATTTGTCATCTTAATTAACAACTACAGAAACATTACATTTTTACATTACATTGCATTTAGCTGACGCTTTTATCCAAAGCGACTTACAATAAGGAAACACTTACTATCTTCCTGATATCTTCTCCTTTCAGCTCTCCCTTCCTGTTTTCCACATTTGCTATGACTTTCTCGGTCTGCTCACACACTTCCGTCATGTCCAGCTCCGGCAGGTCGCTGTACCCTTTAACGGAATGATCGTACAAACTGCTCCGGGCTCCGTGAGAGCACCGGATAAACACCCTGATCCTCTGCCGGGAACAGTGCCTTGTTATCGGCTTCAGCGCTGTCAGAGCAGTGGCTCCAACCCTGGAGACCATGCCGATGGAGGTCGCCATGTTTATGTTGCGTTCAAAGGTGCGTGGGAATAATCAGAGCTGTATTCTTGTGTAAACGAGAAGTCTTCTTCTTTGTTTGAAGGTGTATTACCACCGCCTACTGTATTGGAGTGTGGACCTAAAATAAAAATATATAATAAAAATGTAAATGTTCTGTATTAACTCTAACTATTAACTTTTAAGCTAAATGCACGTAAAATAAAACGTTTTATTAAATATTTCTTAAATACACAATTCGTTTTGATTGCCTTTGTATTCACACTGTTTTTAACAGTGCTACTATAATGTTTTAGTTCTTGGTGAATGAAACATGTTTAAAATGAGGTTTGCAGTTAGCCCATTTCTTTTTATATAGGCACATCTCCCTAAAAATTAAATTAACTCCACAACAACAACAAAATCTGCGTCCATACTGTCACCTTTGAAGTGTGTACAACATATCTCTATCCTGTAGTTGTACATTTTATCTCGTTTTTCTTTTAAAAAACGAACAGAAATTGTTTATTTGTATTGTATCTCTTCACTGACGTCACGAGTCAAAGGTCGTCCAATCAGATGAGCGGACGTTTATACGTTGCGGTAATCCCGTGTGCGTGCGGCCGACTGAACCTGAAGTCAGTGGTACATTTTACCCTTGTAGCCTCTGAAAAACGGCACTATTTAAACACATATTCTGCTTTGCAACAAAGTAGGACGTGTGGGGATGATATCATGGTGGACTGACATCTTGTGAAGACCAGAGGCGGTGTGCACAATGCGCCTTTGAGAGCTAGTTTTGTTATAGATGTTGTTGCACCGGTGCTGCTGGATGAACACCGAGCAGACTCTGCTTCACAGGCCGCCTAACTAAACCCTCACAACCGGGTTTAGTTACAGCCAGCCTTCCCCCCAAAACTGCCTCACACATTCCTGCTGAGAGAGACCCAATCCGGCTTCACGGTGGAAACCAGAAGAAGAGCAAAGGTAATGTTGAGCTGTGAAAAATCCACATTTGACCTGTTTACTGATGCTACAAAAACAGCCTGCTTTGTGTGTGTTATTCCAGTATGTATATGCATATTCCTTTTTATGTTCTGCACATGTCTGTTCTAGGCTAGCTTGTTTGGGACTGCTTTAAATTCTCATTTACTGCACCTATTTTATTCTACGGAAAAGGATTAGGGCCAAAATTCTGAGACTTTTTTAATTACATTTTTAACTTTATTTCCCTCGAAACTGTCTTCAATCTCAGAACAAATTTCCCCCCCCAAAAAAAATATCTGATGTGGCCTGTCGTAGCAGCTTTAAAATCAGCTGTGGTCTAGAGAGAATACTCAGTTAGGTAACAAACGGACAGCAACACAATATTCGTATTAAAAGCCTGGACATCAAAGCAGATGTACATTACAACAACATTCTGGGAGGCCAGCTCACACCCCCTCTGACACTGTATGCAAAACCATCACACCCTACAGGACAATGGGATATACAGATACCCCTCAGACACAGTATTCAAAACCATCACCCCCTAAACACTGTTGACCACACATACCTTTAAGGTTCACTCCTTAGAGAGATGACCTAATCAGAGAAACTAAGGTTCCTTAACCGGCTCTAATCCTCTTCTATGTTTTACTTATCTTTTTGTATAATTGTATTTTTTTTAAATATCTTTTTAGTATATTTTAGAAATATATTTGTTTGTTTTTTTCCATTGTGGTTGTGTACCATTATACTAAAGCAAAATCCTTGCATGTGTTAACAGACTTGGCAATAAACCTCATTCTGATTGATTTAAGGACGGTATTTAAAGACATCTCCTTATGGTAAAATACAACTGAAACGTTATGCAATAAGAAAACTGGGGCCAACACTATTTACTTAAAAATAGCTTGTATCTTGAACTAAAAAAAAAAATATTTCCCACAGAGAAAGGTGCTATCAGGGTCATACCGTTGTTATTTCTAGTTAATTATCTTTTAATATTTTTATGCGCGCTTCTTGAGTGATATTAAGCTATCTTTGGCTCTTGCTGTAACAAATGTAAATGTCCCCTCTGTGGGACGAATACATTGTGATTCTGATCTGTTATAGGACTACATATTCCTGTCATACAGACAGGTGTCGTAAAGGTTATAGTGTAAACAATGTCTCTGTGTTTCTGTATATGCAACTTAAAGACAATTTCTTCCCCAGAGCAATAATCGCACTAACCTCCAGCTTGCACTGACACAATATATATACTTTTATACTCATTAAAACACATTTATTTTACTTAAACCGATATATTCCTGCACTTTTAACTTTATCTGTATATTGAAGTATGAATGCTTGTTGTTTGTATTTTTGATGGCACCTTACAAAAAAGGGAGTAGCTCTACTCATCTCATTGTACTTGTATAATGTCTTAAAGAATTCTATTCTATGTTGTTGCTCAGATGAACGCTGTGCGGGGGGGCACAGCGACCTGGCGCCCCCAGCCGTGGCAGGACGGGGACGGGGGGGGAGGAGAGCCTCTGTCCGACAGTGACTCGGAGGAGGAGGACTTCCCCGACGACAGCACCACGCCGCTGGGAGACTACATCACACACGGTGAGTCAAGGTCAACTGTATTGTCAATCTTTCAGTTTGTGTGCACAGACAGAGAGATCGAAATACCGTTTCCCACAATCCCGAATACAAAAAATACAAATATATATATTTATAAAGATATGTATATACCTATATATCAGGGGTGTCCACACTACGGTCTGGGGGCCAAATGTGGCCTGTGGTCCACTTTGAATTGGCCCACACATGAAACTTGTGCTTGTCTTATATTGTACTTCTTAAATATTAATGTACAAATATATTACACAGTAGTATTCACGTGTTAATGAGACCACTTTTCAAATAAATTAGGTCAATTCAAGTTGGAAACATTGTCTAGCATATCTAAGTTGATCAGAAAAAAGCCCAATGGCTTATTTACATATCAAGCTTGAAATACACCCTTCATATTTCTCCTATTGTAATCAATCTGAGGGATGAGCTGCCAACACTCACCAGCATCATGTACCGACATTTGATTGATTTTGCTGACTTATAACTGAACCTATGAGGCGATGTACCTCGATTCTAGCGAGTGGCCCAGCCCTTCGTATATTTTTCTGTATGTGGCCCTCGGTGAAAAGAGTTTGGACACCCCTGGTCAAAGCCAAAGTCAACTTTATTGTCAATCTTTCAGTGTGTTGAGTACAGGTCCTCCTTCACGAAGAGTCCAGGTGGCATAACAGGATGAGTTTTGAGCAGAAGCAGATGATTAGGTGTTAAAGGCTCCACATCATTCAAGTCATTGGTTATGGTTGTGATGGGTCTATCATTCATTATAGCTTCCACTTCACATAAGGCTGTTTGCAATGCCTCATCATCCATGACTTAGACAGAGAGATCGAAATACCGTTTCCCACAATCCCGAATACTAAAAATACAAATATGTATAAAAATATGTATATCCTATATATATATATATATATATATATATACACAATCAACAGACACATTTATACATATGCACACATTAAGACGTAAATAAAAGCACAACAATCAATATATACAAAATAACAGTCACTTCAATATCTTTTGGGAGCAGGACTCATGAAGCTAGAGAGAGAATTCTGGAAAATGAACCTTGTAGTGAATTCATTAAGTTTCACCTGTCTTCAGAAACACGATCATAATTATTTTATTTGTCCCGCAATGGGGAAATTCACGATGTTACAGCAGCAAGAGTAAAGTGCAGATTAATACAAAAGAGTAGACTTGCATACAGTATTATATGAAAAAGTAGGCGCATGTTATTAATAATAGACACCATGTTATAGAAGTAGATGGTTCTGTTCACAGATTGATAAATAAGCGTGAAATGCATGAGGGTATATTGCACACAGTTTTATTTTTATAGGCATTGCTATAACACCTTAACTGTCTTTATTCCTGCCTCCTTAAATCTCACTTCTTCTGTTCCCCCCCGCTTCCCTGATATCTCGTCCTGCTCTGTTTCTAGGATTGAAGCAGCTCCTGGATGCTCAGCAGCTGTGTGATGTTACTCTTCTTGTGGAGGGAAAGCAGTTCATGTGCCACAGGTAGGACTGCTTTTCCCTACAAACAGGTTGATACAGAAAAACGAGATTAATGATTTTGATTGAAGACATTTATTTTTAAATTCCTCCTCTTGCGTTTGTACCACTAAAGCAAAAACCTTGTATGTGTTAACGAGCCATCCATCCATCTTCTCCCGCTTATCCGTGGTCGGGTCGTGGAGGTAGCAGTTCCAGCAGAGTGTTAACGAGCAATAAACCTAATTCAGATTTATTAAGGACATCTCCGTATGGTCAAATCAAACTGAAACATACTGTAGTGAGAAAGCTGGGGCCAACAATATTTACTTAAAAATAGCTTGTATCTTGAAGTCAACATTTTTTTTCTCCCACAGATATGTGCTATTAGGGTCATATCGTTGTTGTATTGTTTCTAGTTGTGTCTATTAATATTTCTATTGTGTTATTTAGTTTTCTTCATATAACAAGATAGCAAACGCATTGGTCTGTCAGTGAGCTGGAGGGAGACAAAAACAAGGTACTGTTAAATGTACATTGCCTTCTCCTCATGATATAAACACGTTATCTCCTATCCTTCTCGCTCCTCAGAGTCCTGTTGGCAGCGGTGAGTCCGTATTTCCGGGCGATGTTCACCAGCCCTCTGGTGGAGTCCCGCCTCACTGAGATCCGACTGGAGGAGGTCACGCCGTCCGTCATGGAGACGGTGATCCAGTTTGTTTACACCGGTGAGGCGGGGCTCTCTCTGGACACGGCGGAGGATCTGTTTGTGGCCGCCAACCGGCTGCAGGTCATGCCCCTTCAGGACCTGTGCTCCAGGTAAATCTGCTGTAGGAAAAGTGACAGGTGATCAGGTTTACAGCCAAGATTCAGGTAGAAATGTGTTCATCGGTAGAGAATTGGCAATACTGTTCCTACAGTAGTAGTTAGTAGTAGTAGTTATTTTTCTTCTTTACTTGTTTGTAAAGCGCTTTGAGCACCAGGAAAAGCACTATATAAATCAAATGTATTATTATTATTACAGGATAGCTACTCTCCCATTATCTCATGATTTTCAGGTGATCTTGAATATCCAGGTGCTTTGCAAGTGACCTAAATTGGGAAGAATATGTCGAGTGACATTGAAAAAATAAGCACTCTGTCAAGTACTTTGACGTTAGGTTTTACAACCCAGCTTTTGTCTTCTGGATATCAGACCCCTAGTCTCATATACTCTAACTCGCCCCCCTCCTCCACTTTTTTCTCTTCTCTGACCTCTCCAGGTTCCTGTTTGAGCACCTCTCGGTGGATAACTGCCTGGGGATGTACTCTTTGGCTCGCTCTCACCACGACCAGCTGCTGCTCCGCGCCACGCTGCGTCTCGTGGCTCAGCACTTCCCCCGAGTCGCCCGTCAGAAGGACTTCCTGCTGCTGGACCACGGCACGCTGGGCAGCCTGCTGAGCTCCGACCGGCTGGGCGTGGACTCGGAGGCGGAGGTTTACGACGCGGCGCGGCGCTGGGCGGAGCACCAGCCTTTAGATCGCTACGCCCACATGCCGGCGCTGCTGCGCCACCTCCGTCCGGGGCTGCTGTCCCAGGAGGAGAGCCGGAGACTCTGCCAGGAGCTCGGCCCCGCTGCCGGCGAGGCCCTCGGGGGGCCGCTGAGGCCGCGGGAGGGCATGTTCGAGAAGAAGATCGTCTGCGTGGACTTGACGCCTCGGGAGGACGAGAGCGCCGCCTCCAGAGACCTCACCGTGGACTGCTTCGACCCGCGGACAGGGAAGTGGGAGAAGCTGGCGGCCCTCGGGTCCCTGGTGAGCCCCGGCTGCACCGCTGTGGGGGACCGGCTTTTCGTGGCGGGGGGGATCCTGAGGACGGGCTCCGTGTCTGCAGCCGTGCACGAGTACGACGCTGTGCTGGACCGCTGGATGGAGCGGCCCCCCATGGTGCAGCCGCGGGCCATGCTGGGCCTGGTGGGCTGCGGGGACTCCATCTTTGCGTTGGGTGGCAGTAACCGCTCTGCCCTACTGGACTCCAGTGAGACCCTGGACCTCTCGACGCTGCGCTGGGCCCCGGGGCCTCGCCTGCCGCTGCCTCTCAGAGCCTTCGCCTGCGCTGCTCTACGTGGACGTCTCTACCTGCTGGGTGGAACCACGCTGGAACAAAACCGGGCTGTGGTGCATTCAGGGGTCCTCGTCTATCACACCCTCACAGACTGCTGGACTCGCGTGGCTCTGGACTCGGGGGCCACCTGCCTCGCCGGGGGGGGTCGCGGTCCGAGGGGGCGTCTGCGCCATCGGGGGATACATGAGGGACACCACCAAGTTTCTGGACGGAAACTATACTAACCTGGAGACTTTAGACGCCACGGGGCGGGTTCTGTTCTTCAGGGAAGGGCGAGGGTCCGGGGCAGATAGGGAGGTAACCGGGGGGGGGGTGATGGTGAGCGCCGAACAGCGGGGGGGGGCAGGAGGAGGGAGCGACCGTGCCCCGAGTCCGGTAGTTTTCCCCGGGTTGCCGCGAAGGATAGCGGCGGGGGGTGTGGCCCGGTGGAAACGCAGGATTTACGTCCTGGGGGGCGAGAACGGGTCGCGGTTCTACGACAGTGTTTACTGCTGGAAGCCCGGCTGGCGCAGCTGGGTCCAGAGACGAGAGAAACTCCCCGGAGACACAGGGGGGGTGAGCCAATTCGGGTGCACCACCTTAAAATTCCCCAAGAAACACATCCTGTCCAGACTGAGACTAGCCAAAGAAAACTGCAAGAAGCCCGCCGACTAGCTCCACAGGGACCAACTGAAGACGAAGCAGCTGATCATGTGACACACAGACCAGGAAGTAGCTCCTCCTTAACCTCATAACATTTTGAGGTTGAGTCACTAGTAAGAGGCCATTTTATACAGAGTGCAGCACACGGTAGTCTTTATTGACAAGATACAGGCAGATCTTGTGTTTTAAATCAGATGTCAGGCAGAGGGCAAGTGTAGCTAGAACAGACAGTCAGGCAATATGCACCTGAATGTAACCTTATCCACAAATAGTAAAGTCCTTTCAGAAAGGAAAGGGCCTTTTTTGAAATGTTATTCTTGAAGTGCAATGTTATTTTCAGCATTTTGCTTAACCACACAACATCTCAATGCTATGAAGTTTCAGCTGCGTTAACACTAGGGCTGCACGATTTTGGGAAAAAATCCCTAGTTGACACAGGACACATCGGCACATTTCTGACCATGCTATGTTTCACTGTATTGTTCTATTGCTTTTTTCTTTAATATGGGCCTTTTGAAACTGCATTAAGGGCTCTACGAATGCCCTTTATTTGAGTGGGAACCTATCAAAGATACTTTTCATAAACAATTTGCATATAGACAGTTTTGACTTGTTCACTCATTTTATTTTAATTACATAATAGAAACACACAAGGTGTGGTATTTCATTACCACAAACAAGGCAGCCATACAGAATATACGTGACAAATCGACATTTTAAAACAAACAAACAGTATTCGTATGTATTACTACATTCATAACGGGTTAATCCAGACACTCAAAACCCTAAATATGGCAACCCATGTGTTAATCACACATCAGATAAAGTCTTCTTACTCGGTACAGACTGTCCTCATGTTCAGTGAGGAGAAACCTCTGCAGATAAGGCATCATGATATGAAGATTAAAGATAGCCACAACCATTTTAAAGGTTAACATATATGACAAAGTGTGTTTTATATATAGAGCATGGGACAGTGTCCGAGGGTACATGTGTTAGAGTCCTTGTGTCTAAACTAACTTTCCTAGAGCTCCAGGTGAACAGCTGTGTTTCTGCAGCTGTGTTTCTGCAGCTGTGTCAAAACAATTTTATTTCCATTGCTCCAACCACAGAGCGTGTGAATGTGTTAGGCATGGAGTATTATGCATTATTTGAACACTTTAGCATTGCACCTAATTTATTCAGATGTATCTCTAAGGTTTTATTGTGAAATGTCATGTTGCTCTGACTGCAGGGCGGAGAGATAAGCTCAGACAGGAGCAGATGTGTTAAAGGTCCCGTGTCATGGCCATTTCTACTGATCATAATTCCATTGTTGAGGTCTACTAGAATATATTTAAATTGTTCAATGTTCCAAAATCACATTGGTTTCTCACAGCATCTCTGTATAGTATGTGTATTCACTCTCTGTCCTAAACGGCTTGTTGGAGCTCCTGCCCCCCCCCTCCCTATGAGCCCAGTGTGCTCTGATGTGTGGTTATGTTTTACAATGGCGTTTGTTAGCAACCAGAAAATGACACCAGAAAATGACAAACAGATGAGAATGCTGCGTGGATTCTGGGTTGGTGGCACGTTGCGGGGCTCGAAGAGCGGACAGTGTGAGTTGTGTTACTGGTGTCGTTTCCTGGTTGCTGCGTGGGGTCTGCGAGACTCGAGATACGGCGAAACTCAGCCTGAGCACACACACGTGAGTGTGCCGGCGAAACTCCGCGGAGTATCGCGACTGAGAAAATATACGGCTGAGTGTGTGTGTGTGAGGAGCTCCACGGATTGGTCCATTTGGATCGTCGGTACGTCACTTGGTTCTCGGAAAAAGAAGAAAAATCTCCAACGAGGCGTTCTGGGGCAGCACAGACAGGTATTTTCTGTGTCAGAGTTTTACTCGCTACAGGGTGTACTTTGAGGGTTTGTGACTCTGCAGACCGTTTACATGCAGAAAACGCTACATAACACACAAGGGGACGGGTGATAACCGGAAAAGCATGACATGGGACCTTTTTAAAGATCTGTGTTTAAAATGCTTGGGAATTATCTTTAGTTAATTCACTCATCTTGCTGAGTTGACCTCACCATCTTAACAATACATTCTTCTCATAACTGCAGGCCAGATACTGGGTTTAAAACTTTGGATAGTTGGCTAACTGATTCAGTTTGAATACTTTTTTTTAGGAAGGAAACAGGAAGTGCGTCTTTAAGAGATGTAGGATTTTCTCTTTCAACATCGAGATAAGACAAACTTTCACTCTACTTCTGCAGAGTTGATTTATTTAAGTTTTACGAAATTCACTCTGAGTCGCTGCTTAAGTATTTCAACTCAGAAATAAGCACTAATTTGGTGAGAAATAGAAGATTTCACATGTTAACCTGATCCACATTCATGTTTCTCCCTCAAAAGACTCAAATCAGACTGGGTTGTCTCGTAAATCTGCTTTTCGCTTTCACTGCTAGAATCAAAATGCTAGTACTTTCATAATTTTCCAGCTATTAGAAAGTATTGCAATGACTGTCTTGACACAGTGGTGGAACTTCCCTGTATTTTCCAGCTAGCAGCAGATGGTTAACGCTACAGTGATACAGTCATGAACTCCCCAGCTATCACTAAACACTTATAGTACAACATCTGTCACTTTTTGCTTTTCCAATAACATGTTCTGAATCATGTCAAATTAACCATTTGTCTTCCTTGGTGTGACATGTGAAAGGTGTTTGTGTGTGTGCGTGCGCATGTTTTCTATTGAGGCGTAAATCTGTTTTTTGCACACATCCAAACCTGTGCAGCTGCCCTCGTTTTATGCAATCGGATCAAGTTTGTGAACTGAAAGGCAAATGGATGTTTTAATGAAGAGCCCTGCTGTCTAATGATTAAACGACTGTTTGATACATTGTTTTTCACTTGTGAATTTTCTTTGCAAATGCCATCCATCCATCTTCTCCCGCTTATCCGTGGTCGAGTCGCGGGGGTAGCAGTTCCAGCAGAGAGCCCCAAACTTTCTTTTCCCTGGCGACATCAACCAGCTCTGACTGGGGGGTCCCAAGGCGCTCCCAGGCCAGCGAAGAGATATAATCCCTCCACCTGGTCCTAGGTCTACCCCTTGGTCTCTTCCCAGCTGGACGTGCCTGGAACACCTCCCTAGGGAGGCGCCCAGGTGGCATCCTAACTAGGTGCCCGAACCACCTCAACTGTTTTATGGTAGATTTTGGTGATAAAAAAAAAGGCCCAAAATAGATTAAAATCTTCTTTAAAATCCTGTAGAAAATGCTCAAAGCCTGTCTTTCATGGTGTTAATAATCATTGACAATAGTCAAACTTGTTGAACATTGATTCAGTTTGAATACTTTTAAGAAGGAAACAGGAAGTGCTTCTTTAAGTGCAATGTAGGATTTTCTCTGTCAACACCGAGATAAGACAAAGTTTCACCCTCGAAAGCCCAAAATAGATTCAAATCTTTAAAATCCTGTAAAACATGATGACCGAAAGCCTGTTTTTTTAAAAATAGTAAGCGTTTAGGATTCTTTAAGTGGTATTTTGCAGGTTAAGGCCGGTACTGGTTCTGTGCCCAGTAGGCCCCATTCAGTTCAATCTATCCATGTATGAAAGGAAGGAAGTCAAGACAAAATTGGTCCAAGTCTTTTTTTTATTTAAACAAGCAACAACGTCTTGATGTGTTTTCCAGAAAAGGGGCTTTATTGGCAAGATCAATTTGCTTTGTCTCTGTTTTGAGCATCAATGTTCCTATAGTCATCTCACTAACTAATGTCACGTTACTTCTCCAGGTCTTCATTTTCTTTGACATATTTTGTTCAAATCCAGGTGGGTGCCTCTGTTTGCTAGCAACATTGGCAGTGGTCACTTTGTGGGTTTGGCCGGCACCGGGGCAGCGAGTGGCATCACAGTGGGGGGGTTTGAGTGGAACGTAGGTAATCAAACGTCTTCTTTAAAACACTGGATCGATGCATTAATTACACAAAATCTACTATAAATGGCAGTATCACATGTAATGTAACACAAGTACTGTACATAAAATATTCACTGTTTTCACAATAACTTTGTACCAGCACACATACATGTAAAATATATCTAGTGTATATTCATGAACAGTTACTTACCTATATAAAATGATATCTTTAATCTTGTGTGTCCTGTTTTTCAATCCCACCCTGTTGCTTATGTATTGCATAAGAAATAATTGTTACGGTGCATATATCATCAGATGTATAAGTTGAAAGATACCAATAACTTGATTGTGCTCCTTGTAGTTTCCCTTTCGGGGCACAACTGGATTTAAGAGCCAGAAATATCTTGCTCTTTTTTTTTGTTTCAAACGTCTCCTACAAAGCCCCCAAATATATGGAAGTGCAATATGAAATCTATAAAGTTTTTTTTTTTTCTCTCTCTCTCTCTCTCTATTAATAACAGGCGTGCCTATCAATGATTGTCAACTGACAGCACAATGAGTCAAAGGACTAGCAGCAGCAGCAGCATGATGACGTTTATGTGTTGTTTTAGGAACATCCATGTAAATAAATGGAATTCAATAAACATTGAATAGCATATCATGCAGTTTGTCTGTCCCTTTTCCTCTGTGTTGTCCTGGCATATAGTCTCCCCCATGGTTTGCTGTGCTGCTCCAATCGCTCAGAGAAAGGAGTACAAATGTACGGTTTCCCCTACTGACACAGAGGAGGAAAGAATCACTGGCTCAAGTCAGCAGGAGCAATTTAACCATCACAAAAGACAACAACAAAATATGTGAGGTAGGCCTAATCATATTTTTCACAAAACAAAGACCACACCATTGGGAAGCGTAATGTCTGTTTAATAAAAATAAGGAACAGGGAGAGGCTTGCAAAACTCTGGGGGTTGAGACTCAGGCTCAGGGTCTCATTGCAGGTCTTCAGGCTCCATTGAATCCCCCTGGGGTTCTTGTGCTGAAAGAGGGAGACAAAGACAGGAGAAAGGGTTAGATACATCTATATAGCAACCCTATAGGATGGGAAATGTAACTATTTTAAACTTACCTTGTGTTTTCACTCTCGCTTAAATCCATCTCCCTTTGCCATCAATCCAAAATCAGCTGAGCTGCAACATAATACAGACAGTTAATAATCAACAGAATCACAAGGACATTATACGACTCTGCTAAAAACACTCACTCATAAGTAACGTTTTTGTTTACTGTTTGGAAGTCTCAAATACGCACTTTAAATCCATATCAATAGCAATGTATCACAAAAATAGCTCTCTTCCTTATTATTGTGTAACGTTAATTATATTAGCTTGAACTCCAAAATGGATATCCTAATTTCCTCACCTCCACCCACTACAATCACGCGCACCAATGTTATATTTAACTCATATGTAACTCCCTCCACCCCGGATAAAAGCACGTTAAGAAGCCCTTTTTCTCTAATTCCACAACGTTGGATGAAATAACATTAGGAGAACGGATTAATAGGCTGTTCATGGTTAACGTGTGTTGCTAACTTTTACCGGAATCCTAGCCTAATGTTATCTGTAAACGGTAGATTTAGGGATAATCCACTAACATCCTTTAATACACATGTTAATTTGACTCAGATGTGCTGATAATATCCGCAATATAAATCTTTAAACGTCTTCTTTCCTTTAAAAGTCCATCACGAACGGTCTATTATGCTGCAACTCTACTACGGCTAGCCTTGCCGCTAACTTCCAGGAACTATTGAGAGGCTCCACGATCCGCCATTGCTGTACACAAATGGTCCATTGGAGTGAACGGAGATCGTAACTCTTTCTATTATAGGGCTCTGGGTATACCCACCATTTGACCTGACTACCCACCGTCATTACGCGAACCTTGGTGGTATACGTGGACTATGCCGAAGTAGGCTTAAAACAAAGAGTGTATCCATGTTTATTAGTGTCTAACTAACATAAATCCTCATTTTCTGAAAAAGTCATTTTTTACCACTAAACCTGTTTTTGAGTGTATCCCATGAGTGTATAGAACAGCGCATCACATCGGTGGTCGGTAGCTTTGCAGTTCCATACACATTGTTTATGCAAACAGTCACATATGACGGGCTGGCTGCCCTGTGATTGGCTGGTTTCCTGCGTCCTTACAAACCATCAACTGAAAGGTACTTCTGATTGGCTGGTTTAGACATTGGGCGGTAGCAAGAAGTCACCTCAAGATGCATGCTCGCAGCTGCGTTCACTCATGGAAAGACACATGGACAATGGAGCTACAACAGCCTACTTGATTAAACACAAACAGGTAAGCTTGCATACTTGTAGATATTGCTTCTTTTACATGAGTAAGTGTAAACTTAACCTCCATATTATTATTGATTACCAGCTGATGAAATAGCATACGTGTAAATGTTTTTTTAGTAGTTCAACTTTGTAGCACATGCTAGCATACATGCTAGCATGTGTACATGTCTTTGTATTGAACTAGTAGCACCAGAGCTAACTGCGTGTGCTTCAGACTCACAGTATGCTAGCATGTGTAGTGTACATGTTTTTGTATTGAACTAGTAGCACCAGAGCTAACTGCGTGTGCTTCAGACTCACAGTATGCTAGCATGTGTAGTGTACATGTTTTTGTATTGAACTAGTAGCACCAGAGCTAACTGCGTGTGCTTCAGACTCAGAGTATGCTAGCATGTGTACATGTTTTTGTATTGAACTAGTAGCACCAGAGCTAACTGCGTGTGCTTCAGACTCAGAGTATGCTAGCATGTGTACATGTTTTTGTATTGAACTAGTAGCACCAGAGCTAACTGCGTGTGCTTCAGACTCACAGTATGCTAGCATGTGTAGTGTACATGTTTTTGTATTGAACTAGTAGCACCAGAGCTAACTGCGTGTGCTTCAGACTCAGAGTATGCTAGCATGTGTACATGTTTTTGTATTGAACTAGTAGCACCAGAGCTAACTGCGTGTGCTTCAGACTCAGAGTATGCTAGCATGTGTACATGTTTTTGTATTGAACTAGTAGCACCAGAGCTAACTGCGTGTGCTTCAGACTCAGAGTATGCTTCAAAATATCGTCGACGACATATTTCCGCATCGACGCACACACGTGGGTCACCCAAAGCAACAAGCAGTTCTCAATCGCACTTCAAACACAATGGAGACTGAAACGGCTACCACCTCCTCCTCACAGGATTGCGCACGAAGCCCCCAAACGAAAACATCTCGCCCTAGGTCTTCAAAAGCATGGGAATATTTTAAAGTTAGTCCAAAACGCAAAGATATTTATATATTTATATCTCACTGAGACTGCTGCATAGCCTAGCAGAAGCAGCAGCTAGCTGTGGTGGCTACCATTAGCAGCTAGCATTTGCTCTCCGATTTTTTACATAAAATGGAATTATGGATTATAAATTCAATCATTTTTTTATACATAGACGTTAAAAACCTATGGATTAACCGATTCAGCCGCGTTTTTTCTCATTTTAATGCCATTGAACACGTCTTTTGATCAGATTGACAGCTACGGTGGTGAGACGATCTCCCTAGAAGCTCTGTGAAGGTACGTGTTGTGATGACTGTATTTGCTTCCCCTGTCGCGAGTCCGGATCACTCAGTGATGATACTATGCACCTACATAATCTGTGGAGTCTCAGCTTTAATCGGATATATTGTATGTGCAGCTACGATAAGTAATAAGGGTACTTTTATCTTGAGTTCTGTGCCAATGTCCGTTAGCATTTTTCGCTCAGGGGTCATTTAGATGCTTCTTATGAGACTTGTGTTTTGTTTTGGTAAACATGGTTTGTATCGTCAGTTAGCTGAGATTATTTCCGTTAATCTGGTATAACACATTAATAGGTTCTTAAATATTAAGATCCCCTGAGACACAGTATCGTGAAAAAAAACATTACATTACGTTTTTTATGAATTGAACAACAGAAAAATAATCGTTAGATTAGTCGACTAATCGATCAAATAATCGCCCGATTAATCGTTTTCAAAATAATCGTTTCCCCCCAGCACTATGTACCACACACACCTACACCACACACATGCACCTACAGCTCCTAAAACAGGCTACAGCCGTTGTATTTTATTATGTGAAGCACTAAATGGTTGTAGAAAAATATGGACTCTTTGTTTGTAGATATCTACTAAACTAAAGCAAATAGAGTAGGCCTGTTATACTGAGTGATATATATTATACACACTGCTCTGCTTTCTGCACGGACCTCACAGCTGTTCTCACTGTAAACATCACATCGCGATGAAAGCAGTTAATAAAATAATATCCAGAGGATGCATGGAGAGCTGTCATTGGCTGAGATAAGTCCGGCCGTGCGTCACGACTCTTTGAAACATCTCTGTTCCCGGAATTGCATCCACGATGGAGCCGTGGAGGACCCATCAGTGTATCCTCGGTTATAGCTCCTCCAGAGAGCCTCCTCGACGCTCGATCCTCGGTCCTCGAAGCGCATTTAGAGAAATGAGATGTCCTTCAACATGGCGCGCTGAAATTCATTTCCGGGTCACTACCGGAGGACCGAGGAGGGGATTTATTTATGTGATGTAAACATTGTATTTAACTGGAACTGAGGACAGGAGGTATGAACTATTACTCTTTTTCACAGCTATAATAAACCATCTAAGTCAAGATGCAAAGGCGGAGACGGAGATGCAGCAATCCAAAGGATGATGCCAAATGTTATATTGACACTGGAGGGGACAAAGCAGGGCTTGACGTCCAATACATCAATGCCATCAAAGGTGAGTTTATTCTTCAGTTCTGATTGTTTAATCATGATTTAACTTAAAGTATAAACATAAAATATGTGACTTTAGTGTGCTATTTTTCTCACTTATTTGTTATTTGTGTTCCTTGTAGGTCGCGGCATCTTCACCTCTATACCATTTCAAACAGGAGACTTTTTGATAGAATATAGAGGTGAACTCATAAGCCAACAAGAATGTGAGACGAGACTGGAACGTTATCCTGTCAGGCTCAAGGGGTTCATGTTCGAATTCCATTTTGATGGAAAACTGTGGTGGTGCGTATTATGTCAATGATAAGTCTGAGCACAATGAATGAAGTTGGATTTATTTTCACAGCTTAGCTAGCTGTTTTCACTTCAATTGATTGTTTTGCAATGAAGTTTCACTTGTGTTTTTGTAGCGTCGATGCAGCAAAAGAGCACGAGTCTCTAGGCAGACTTGTGAATGACAATCACAGAAACCCGACTGCAAAGATGAAAAGACTATCCGTGCAAGGGAAGCCCCATCTTTGTTTGTTCGCTGAGCGAGACATAAGTCCAGGAGAGGAGATCACCTATAATTACGGTGATTCAGACTGGCCGTGGAGATGCAAGGTGGTCAACATTGTACTTGCTCTAACCATCACACCACATACGTAAATGCTACATATTATCCAATGCATTAGTTTTGATTATGATTATTTCAGTATAAATATTGTAAATATCATTTTTTTTTAAATATACTTCTGATAGTGAAACATAACTACAGGGTGTTTATTGAAATGTATATCTGAATAACTTTAATTTCATGTTACTACAAACTATGGATGGTTTAGAATCTTTAGGTACATGGGAACGCCCCATCTAATAATAATAATGGTGTGTGTGTGTGTGTGTGTGTGGCAGGGTCTTGATGAAGTGATGCCTCTGGAAACCTGTGGGGCCACATCTCCAAATGAGAACATTGAAGAGGTATTTTTTTACATTAAGGCGAGACACCCCAGGTGAATAGGGTACATTTTTTAACTTAAAGGTATCAGCTAGAAATTTCTCCAGTTAATTACTTACAATAAGGCAATTGTCTTTTGTATTACAAGTTTTCTGAAATAGCATGTTTAAATATGCAAATTATCCATTATCATCATTAAATATGCACATATTTTAACACATTTCAGGAATCTAAATCTGAACTTTGGATAAAGCCAGATTCAAAATTCTTGTTTCATTTTGTAGTCATATTAGTATCTAAGGCTTTTACAGAAGGGATATTGGATATCTCTTTTTATCATTCCATAAATCAGAAAATACTGTCAACAGCCCTAAAATATCCATTTTCGCCATGTTTTTAGGTATACAATGTTGTATAATTCAGGCTATGAATTATATATGAACAAACCCTTCTGTAAAAGCCTTCATAATATTGATAGGAATATAACTGGAAGGTTTGGTGTCTCTATGTGCTACTGAAGTTGAAATTTCGAGCTCAGAGTAGGAGAAAAAAACTCATTTTGAGAAAACGACCTTTAAAGATTGCAGTGAGGCGCTAGCTAAACCCTCCTGTTCTTTGGATGACAGCTTGCGCATCGACGCACTCCGTGAAGGTATTTCATGTTCAGGGTCATTTTTTTTTATATAACCTTGCTTCGTGCAAGTGACAATTGTTGTCGTCTTCTCTGTGAACGTTTTTTTCGCCGTTCTTTTGGCATTTTGAGATTTCAATTTCTAGCTGAAAGCTAACCAGGAAGTGTTTTAACACACCACGTGACGCATCTGAACGAATCACGTTGTCAGAAATTGACACCAGCCAATGAGATTTCGTTTCTTGGTTTAAGACCCCTTTGTGCTTTCACGATTGGTTGCTGATACAAAGGAAATGACCATATTTGGTTCCGATGAGATTGTGCAGGAGAGACGGAGCTTTTCAGCGATACCTCTGTTGACATGGTGCACACAGCGGTCGCGGTACTTTATGTTACGTTAGAATGCTAACTTTTGGTGAATTTAGGAGAAATCTACAGACGCAAATAGACAAACTATAGTAAAATAAACACTTAAATGTGTATTTGTACGTTTTCCTTCCAAAAGCCTGAAAGAAAACATGTTATGGAATCAAAATAGCACAAAATCTCAAAATTGATCAGTACTTGAAAAACGATGTTTCTGCCGTGTCTCGCCTTAAACATAGATTTAATATCTCAAATTGATGTTTTGTTTTGGATCCAGTAAGGTTTTAAACTAAGTTTTCCTTTCATTCTTTCTGTCATCAGTAGGACCATTCTTTTATTCAATTCCAAATATTCTCTGATAGTACATTTCCAACTTTCTGTTGTATTGATTGTTCTCTTTGTGTTTTATCTGCTACAGATGGTGACTAACAGCGACTGCACTGAGAGCTACACGAAGACGACAGGTCAAGTGTTTTCTCCCCTCAGCAGAGCCGAAAAGGTACATGACATTTAAATACTACTTGATTGTATCTATTTACATACCGACATGTTTCTTTGGGCTGTGTATGCAGTAGTCTGAATATCATATGGTTTATAAAGACAATGGTATGTGAGGACATCGTCTTCAAATGCTTTTCAAAGTGTAAGTCATGACTGTAACTCATGCTTGCACTGCCTGCCTGTGATCTGTATGTTAAGTTGTTCAGTAAGTAATGATAAATGTAATCTATGACAAGATATAATGTAAACTAAATGTAGTATATCCTGAATTCCTAAGTGAAAAGTAAGTTTAAGGATTATACTTTTTATAACCTAAGACCTGTAATCATTTGGCCTGTCGAGCAGAACTGCATTGGACTTCAGAAACACAACCTAGATGCTTTCATATAATGTTTTGAGACTTGTAAAAGCAAATTTAATTAAACATTGATCTTCGCTATTAAAGGATTTGCTTTAAGTAGATATCAATATGTCAATGTGAAATTGTTGCTGCTCAAAAACAAAATTGTTACATTTTGCCAACAGCATTGCTTGAGGATCGCAACTGTATCCTCATTGGACAGGTGTGCTTCCTGTGTGGGACCTGTGTCCTCCTCCAAGTGGCTTGGATATGAATGCAAAGGTGAGATAGTCATGTATGAATTTGCAGTAGTTTGGTATACTTTTTAGAATGATACACCTTGGGGAAATTATTCCTGGTTTACACCATTGGATATATATATATATATATATATATATATATATATATATATCTCAACTATTAGTGTAATGCTGCGTAAAAATAGGTCATTATTGAATTATAATAGTTGTAGACTGGTATATTGTTTGGATTACTTACAAATGTTTTATTTTTCTTCCTTATCTTTTATGGTTTAATGCTGAAGATCTTTTTGACCCCGCTTTTGTATTTCATTGTGCAAACAAAACCTTTTCAATAGACCCGTACTATTTACAATAATATACAAAAAATGTGTTGCAGAGTGTTCAACAGTCTGGCATCAATCCTGCTTCAGAAACATCCAGGATGATAACCTCCATTATCTACCTAAGGTGAGCATGAGCTTAAGGTTTTGTTGAACCTTTAGCTGTCTATAACTATACGTCAAAACTAAATGTCGTTTTTTTTTCCATTTCCAACAGCCTTCTGAAAACAGTTTCAGAGATGAACTGCAGTCAATCCAATCAGATTCAGAAAAGGATCAAATATCCGATGAGTGCATGTCTGGTGGGGAATACATACCCGACTCACAAGGGGATGATGATTATTCAGATGCAAGTATCCCCTTAATGCCTAGTCAGTCAAAAGCTGGACGGATTCAATTTGAAACACTAACTGATGTTGGAAAAAATGATCCATCGGACACAAGCCTCCCAGTATTGCCCAGTACATCCGAGGATTGGCCCCCTCTTGATATGGCTATCGATGCCACAACATCTGGTCCATCGATTTCTAACAAAGACTCGTACAAGAAAAAGGCTAAAGCTGAGCTTCCCAAACATCTGACATTGAGCACTAAAAATTACTGTTTCGTTTGTAGAGAACCACAAAGCAAAATTTCCCGCCATTTCAGAACGCACAAAACGCATGCTGAAATTATACATGCCTTTTCCCTTCCCGAACACTCGAAAGAGCGAAAGATATTAATAGAAAAAATGAGGAATAAAGGAAATTTTAAACACAACACTGAAGTTTTAAAGAGTGGAACAGGGAAGCTAAAAGTAAAGAGAAAACCAAAGGCTGAAGCACCGGCAGGAAAATTCATCCACTGCATGCACTGTAAAGGATTGTACATCCGCAAGGACCTTTGGAGACATGTCCGCAGATGCCCCTGTAAGCCAGAAACCAAAGAAGAAGAAAAACCTGCAAGAACCAAAGTACTGGGTTTGGCCTCAGCTCAAGAGTCAGTTTTTTCTCAGCAGATCTCAAGTGGAGTGTGGAAGCTACTCAATGCGATGAGACAGGATGATGTTGCGTCAGTTGTCCGAAATGACTTCTCTATTATTCAGTTTGCCCAGTCACTCTACAACAAACACGGTCAAGACCCTACTAAGCATGAATACATACGTCAGAAGCTACGTGAAGTTGGACGTTTGTTGCTTTGTCTGCAAACAGAATTCTCGGTTTATAACCTTGAGGAGGCTGTTAAACCTGCTAACTTCCAAAGAGTGGTGCAAGCGGTGAAGAAAGTGTCAGGATTTGATGATAAACACCACACATATTCAACACCAAGCCTGGCGTTGAAACTTGGACATACACTACTCAAAATAAATGACATTATTCACTGTCGGGCCCTTATGGCAGAAGATGATGAACTGATCAAATCAACTAAAATGTTCGAGAAACTGTACACCTCGAAGTCGTCTGAGTTTGTGTCTCACGGTGCTCTGAACACTCTGAGCGGTGCAAAATACAACAAACCATCAACATTACCCTTCACCGAAGATGTTCAGATCCTTCATCGGCACCTTGACAAGTCTGCAGAAAGTGCCATTTGCAACTTAAAAGAGGAGGCGACACCTCAGAACTATGCTGAACTTGCAAAAGTTGCACTTGCACAAGTCATAGTGTTTAATCGAAGACGTACTGGGGAGGTTTCAAAAATGCACCTCAAACATTTTAATGAAAGAGACAACGCAGAACTGCATCAAGATGTTGTCAAGGGGTTGTCAAAGACTGAACAGAGGCTCTGCAACTATTTCAGCCGAGTTGAAATCACGGGAAAGAGGGGCAGAAAGGTTGCAGTTCTGCTCTCACCAAGCATGTTGGATGCCCTGTCCCTTCTTGTGAGTAAAAGAGCTGAATGTGGTGTTTGTTCCACCAATGTGTTCCTGTTTGCAAGACCCAAATGTATGAGCTGCTACCGAGGACAGGACTGCTTGCGTCTTCATTCAAGCAAGTGTGGTGCAAAGCACCCTGAGCACATCAGGTCGACACACCTTAGAAAACATGTCGCAACACTCTCCCAGGTGCTTAATTTAAAAAACAATGAACTGGACCAGGTAGCTGATTTCCTGGGTCATGATATCCGGGTACACCAGGATTTCTACAGGTTACCAGTTCCAACCACACAACTGGCCAAGATTTCCAAACTGCTGTTATCTATGGAGAAAGGACAGCTTTCCAGCATTCAGGGGAAATCACTGGACGAGATTGAAATTGAAGGTTTGTACAGAAACATTTTATTTTTTTAAACAAAAACATGCTTGCACTCATCCTTACCAGCCTGGAATGCTCTAGGAAAACGTTGAATTCCCAAACAACATTAACCAATCAAATGAAATGCATTGTGAGTGAGGTTGACTTTGGCTTTTGATTCTTAAAGTGTGCACTTACATCGAATAAGCTTCTTGAGTTTGCGTTGTTTAAACTATTACAGAATTGTATATATCTAAAGCTAAAATAATTCAGGTATGTTTTATTTATGTATGTCCAGATATTAATGCAAGTTTTACCTTTACTTTTTCCTAGATGAAATTTCATTCAGTGACGCTGAAGACGTAAACAGTGATTCTGATGATGATGAGACGGCAGCAACAGAGTGTGGAACTAGCGAACCTGTGACTGCTGCATCCACATCTGTTATCACAGAGCAAGACATTGACAATTTGGGTAGGTTGCCTCACTTATAGTTGTGTCTGACAGAATAGAGAATACAAATTATATATTTAACAACAAAAACATTTGTGTGTTAAGCAGAAACGCTGTCATCCACAGTGAGTGAGACGGCTCCTCCCTATGAAGGTAAGGTTGTTGAACTTGGAAAAGGCATTGAGATAAGCTTATAAGAAAACGGTGTTAAGACCTAGCCAAAACAGTTTTGATCTTCAGAAATGTATTGATTAGTTTCCTTTTTGGGAGTGGTCAATTATTACTAGAATGCATTTCCAGCCTAGGACTTTTTAAATGTCCAACCCATCATTCTACCCCTGCTGTCCAAAAAGATAGGAGGTATGAATATATGACCCTCAATTCATTTATTAAAAGACAGTGGCAAAAAAAGGGTAGCACTTCTGTACCCTTTTTTCTGATATGACAACTGTGGCTGACGCTCCCTGGGTCTGGCCTACATTGCTGTGTCCGTCTGTATGGGGTAAGAGTCACACAATGCCAATCTTCTTGACTAGTTATTGATTTCGAATAGGGCTGCACGATTTTGGGGAAAAATCTAATTGCGATTTTTCTGACAAATATTGCGATTCGATTTGGGATATTTATTTTTAAGCGACCCAACGGAAGTTTATTGTAAAATGCGGCCATATCTCCGGCTAGGAAGGTCGTATCAACGTGCTCCCGTCTCTAGCACCCTCGCAGCCTGAGCTACGAGTGAAAGAACTAAACTTACATGAAACTTCCGTTGGGTTGCTTTAAAGTCAAGCTTCAGTTTAAGACTCACCCTGTAATAGAAACACGTGATGGAGCATTACTAACCTGACTCAGGTGGTTTGTTTCACCAAAGCATCTAAAGCTCCATTGGAAGCCATTTGGAAAGGGCAGGCACTTTCAGAAGCACTTGGCAGGTGATTGGATCAATCTGTCTATCACCTTCTATCATGGGCCACTTCTGATTGGTTAACAATGGCTGGTACATGTGGAGCACAGCACTTCAAATTGTAATTTCGAATGTGGTACTCACTTACACTAAGAAACATTTCCAATGAAGATTGCGGTGTAAGCTATTATACTATTATCAAGGTCGAGAACGACTCATTGCAACACGTTTACCGCCAATGTAAATTCAATACAATTTAAACTGAAAACCCAATCCTAAACCCAGTAGTCTTGTTTTCAATTTCATCATATAGTACGATGTACATGTGTAATGACTTAACTCCAGAATGATCAATTTCATAAATAAAAAATACAGGACCTTTTTTATAAAGATTTCTCAATAGCCACTTTGCTTATTGGATTGCTGTCCTAAAGTTAAGGCTAGGAGGCAGGCATGAGGAGGAAGAATGAGAAGAGGGTGGCATGTATGTGCTACTCAGCGTTTCCGCCAGGGGGGCGTCTTGCCGTCATTTAGCTCGGAACGCCCTGAACTCGAGCCGAGGGCGTCCAAAAAAAAAAAGATCAAGAGTTTTTATCGCTTGAAATGACGACAAGGACATCCCTTAGTTGGACGGGCAAAGGAGTCTGGTGGGATTATTTTCGCCGCCAGCAAAGCGTATTCCTGTGACGGAAAGTGTACTGCCGGCGAGCCTTGGTGGGGAGTGCTAGTGGAGCACGCACGTGAACTGCGAGTGCCTTAGCCTCGCAGCGGCAAAACTGAGGCTCTGTGGTAAAATGAAGAGCCGAAAGAGCCGGCCCTTCTTAGTGACTACTGACTAGTCACTAAGAAGAGCCGGAATTCCCATCACTAATACGCAAAGAGATAGTATCTATAAGGGACGGCTCAAGTCACGTGACACAACATGACGTCACCCCCCCCCTCTCAGCCCTGGTCTGGCGGAAACACTGGTGCTACTCGTATCCAGTTTTCGGATAAAAAGCAGATGTTATTTCCAACTAAAATTTGATTCTACTGATTTGATTTTTTGTTTTACTTTTATATCTTTCAGGAAAGGATCATGAAAAGGCCAGAAAAACAATCAAGAAAGCGTGGGCCAAGAATGAGGTAGCTGCAGTAATGCGGCATTTTAAGCTTTATATTGCCAAAGGACATCTGGCCACCAAATCTGAGTGCCAGCACTGCAAGCTGGTTGAAGGCAAAGTGCTTGATGAACGAACGGTACAAAATATAAGAGACTTTGTTCGCAATCGCGGAATCGCCCGAAAGAGGCAGTCACAGTGAAACCATCAGTTTTGTTTTGTATTATGTTGTGGTTATCCTGAGGACTTCAAGTTTATTACAGCACCCATGTCCAACCGAAGGGTCAGTTGGATAAAAATTGCATTATAATGGGAAAGCAAAGCTATGTAACATTTTGGACGTTATCCCGGCCGTTTTCTAATCCCTTTTATTTTGTATGTTAAACCAATGATTCATACTAATGCACTTTTTGACATTTGTTTTAAATGGTAAACTATGCAGATTTTTCCTTCAAAAAAGCAAGCCATTGACTCGCCAACAACCCATTGACGTGTGTGTTTTGGTGTCTATCGAAACCTAGTAACCATGTTTCATTGCTCTCTCGGTTGCCTTCAAACAACAATTCCTCTGACTGTCGATCTGTATGTCGCTGACTGTCTGACTGTTGATCTGTGTAGCTGTATGTCTATCTCTAGCAAGCTCATCTGTTGGTCTGTCTTAACAGTTTACTCTGCTCCAACTTTTGTCACATGGCCTGTTAACTGGACCTTTTTCTGCATAGTATACTTGAATGTGTTTAAACATAAATGTATTTGTTTGAGAAGAGTTGATGCTACCTTTTTTATTTTACAATTAAAGTGACTGCTCCCATAATGCTGTGTCCTGTCTGGTTGTGTATTTATGTAAATTTGGAGGGGTGTGGGAGTGGCCTTAATGGCCCTTTTTTTTTTTTTTTTTTTTTTTAAAGACTCCATAGGTTTTTTTTGGTCCTTATAAGTCACACTTTTTTCAGTAGACATGTCTGGGTATACCACAATATAAGTAGGTGTGTTTTAAAGGGTGTATCAGCTCTAAAGTGAGCGGAGTACTTTGACCCAACTCCCATAGCTGTAGGACCTCAGGAAAGGTAGCCGATCTAAACCACCACCGGGCCGGTTTTGGGAAAAAGTGCGGCTATTACATAAAACCGTGTGTGTTCAGGTTCGCTGGAGCCTTCGTCCTTACCGGCTACTGAAAGTAAATTATGCAGCATCGTATTTCATCTTCCAAAGGCTTTCTCTGTTCACCCTACACACACTTCACACACACTTTTGGCGCCTGTCAGTCCCTCCAGGCTGCACTATGTCCCTCCCCAGCAGCAAAGAGATTAACCAGGGTCAGTAATCATTCATGTATCTGCCGAAACGCTGACTCTGCAGAACCTTTAAACTCCTCATCTGAAGCCAAACAGAAAACAAACCCCTCCTGCAGCCTTATTGATTTCTGCACACAGTCAGTGTACATCAGAGTTCTCCTGCTGTAGATTACAGACACTCAAAGAAGGAGGCAGACGACATATTAACGGTCTCAAACCAGCGCAGGAGGGTTAGGGTCCTTTTGAGAAGTGGTGAAGCATGGAGGGGAAAGTGCTGACTCAGCAGCTGACTCATGTCCTGAGTGTCAGAAAACAACTGTGGACTAGAGAGCCGAGGAGGAGAGGACACAGAATACAGTGTGCTGACTTTAACAGTGTTGTTTAACATGCAGAAAGATTATATTTAGCACAATGTCCAAACCAAGCCATACATTACCATGGATGTGATGTGGTTAGGGTGATGTGTGAAAAATATAAGAGTTTTGTTTTTGTCCAATAACCATCAAAGTCACTCCAATAGTGCTCCAATTACGCTTTCATCCTCCTTTAACAAAATACTTCACATTCATCCAGTTTGTGACAGTAGTTGTAGCATTTGAGACTTTTAAACTTTAATTACCGCTGTTGCGCCCCCCCTTGTGTGTGGGGGGGGGGGAGCGCAACTTCCAACAGGAGTCATTTGGGGGGGCTCTTGGAAAAAAAGGTAGGGAACCCCTGTTCTAACTTATATGCATTGACGTCTTTTTAAGATTTAGGTTAGGACCCATTTTTGGATTTTGCATCAAGTTGCACATTTTTATGTTTTAAAATGTGACAATTTGGTGATCAAAATATATGTTATGTATACCATTTTCTCCCCTATTGTAGACAAGATAACAAATATTAAATAATGAACGCTTCAGTGGGAAATGTAGCCGAAGAAATGCCATTAAGATTGTCAGCTGAAACCAAGTACACAAGTGATAGTTGTATTGTAATTAATACCGTCCATCATTTTAAAACGAGTGTTATATTAAAGCAGGGGTGTCCAAACTACGGCCCGGGGGCCAAATTCGGACATTTTGAATCGGCCCTCAGCCAATTTTAAAAGTATAATGGAATATGGCCCACAAAGGAAACTTGTGCTCGTCTTATATTGTACTTCTTAAATATAGATGTACAAATATATTACACCGTAGTATTCATGTGGTAATAAGACCACTTTTCAAATAAATCCAGTCAATTAAAGTTGGAAACATTTTCTAACATATCTTAGTTGATGATAAAAAATCCCAATGACTTATTTACAAGCTTGAAATACACCTTTCATATTTCTCCTTATTATAATCAATCTGAGGGATGAGCTGCCAACACTCACGAGCATCATGTACCGACATTTGATTGATTTTGCTAACTTATAACTGAACCTATGAGGCGATGTACCTCTAGTGAGCGGCCCAGCCCTTCGTATATTTTTCTGTATGTGGCCCTCGGTGAAAAGAGTTTGGACTCCCCTGTATTAAAGACTTCTGTTATATATATTTTTTTAAAAGGGTACATACAATAGCTGTTGTTCAGACGCTGAGTCTCTCCTTCGCTGCAGGGTGCGTTCTGGGGTCTGATGGGGGGCCTGCTGATGGGTCTGCAGGATGTTGCCTGAGTTCTGGTTCGGTTCTGGAAGCTGTATTTTCCCCTCTAGCTGCCCCTTCTTGGTGTGTGGGATCCATTACCTGCACTTTGCCATCACTCTGTTCTTCTGTACCTCCGTGCTGGTGCTGCTGGTCAGCCTCTGCACACCGCCCATCCAGGAGCAACATGTGAGTGACTTCTGAAAACACACATGCACTGATTCACTAAGTCACAATATGTTTCTGTAACAGGTCCACAACATGTCGGCCCGTCTGTCTGTATGTTTGTAATCTTACATACTACTAGTGGTGGAATGTAACTCAACATTTACTCAAGTACTGTACTGTAGAACAATTTGGAGGTACTTGTAATTTAAACACCATTTTATGATACTTTAAACTTGTACTACATTTTAGTTACTTTACAGATTCAGATTATTAACTAATAAATATGGGTTAAACCTTCCAGCTGTAGTATACAAAGTAAATAAAATCAGCTCACCTTTACCAGCTGTGATGAACACATTAATGCATTATTAATAATAATAATAATATTTTACAAGATAAATAAACGTCCGTTTTCGACAACAGCTTGACTAGAGGGACAACTGAGTGAGATTCAACTCTTTGTTTTGAAGTCTGCACTCTTTTAAGGGCCCTTTTCTATTTATTTATAACTGTGTTTTCATATTCTAGCGCCCCCATTTAGACTAACTTGAGTACAGTTATATTAAAACACAAGAGATCAATGCACATTCACGGTGTGAGGTGAAGTTTTAAAGCATGAAAAGTTCAAACAGATTTAGTTTTTATCACATCAACATTCAAATAATAAGAAAAGACAAACACGGTAGAGATTTTATTTTGATTTGTATGAAATCAATACAATCAAGCAAAAATCATATTACATCTTAAGTCAAAATAAAATTCTCCAAATCCAAACTGTAACAATGATGGAATGATGTTTTACATTTTTTTAATTTTCATTCATATCATTTATCAGCAACTTATATCATATTCTATATGAGTTTATTACATTTAATCATCCAATAACAAAACAGCTGACATCATTTATATTCGGATTATATCATCACACATTAAAACTAGTTAAAATACATTCATGTAGAAAACGAATAAAATGACCCAAAGTGAAAATCAGAGATTGACATACAACAAACCACTCAGTTACTAAAAGAGTGTACTGTACTGTCTTCATTTCCATCGTACTTAATGGAAAATATACTTTAAAATAAACAAAATGCTTAACGCATTACCTTTCCTGTCAACAGGAGATGTTTCAATGTATCTGCAAAACATTTCCTGACTTAGTGTTTCATTTGTTTTCACTAAATCCTGATTAAACCATTTCTCTGGTTCAGGTTTGGAAACAAAGGGAACTGTATGGTTTAGTAACTGGTGACTTGAGCCCTTCCTTCCATTTTAAAAATGAAAATGAAATTACATATTAGACGCTTTTATCCAGAGCGACTAACATACTCAATACTGTGGGCAATCCCCACAGGAGCAAGTTGGGGTGAAGTGTCTCAGGGACACAACGACATGCTGACTGCAGTGGGGTTTGAACCTGTGACCCCCTGATCACAACACCAACGCACTAATCCATTGCGCCACACGCCTCCCATGATCATAATGAAGAAATCAAGTACTTGTCTTTTTAAAAATATAAGTGAAACCTTTTTGCTGTATAAATGTTGTTTTCATGAAACAGGCAGTGAAACCTCATCCCACACTGCTACTAAGCCTGCAGCCTCTGCATTACCACCATCCACAATTGACTACCCGTCTCATAGGTTAATGCGTTACCGCTCTTCTATTAAAAGCCGTGACTAATCACACGAGCATCTTTATGAACCATTCACCGATCTTCTGCCATCTCGTAGAAGTTGTCGTTTCGCTGACTGTTTCGGACCCTCCTTCTGATGCAATTTGAACCTGTGTGGACCTCTCGGAGATGAAGTGCTCTCCGTTATTGGCTGCTACCATCTCATCCATTTTATCCAGAAGATGTTTAACCTGCACCCCGTTTCCTCTCTTTGTGTTGTCAAACACACTGTATCTACCTGCACACTCGGTTACTAGGTCAGACACAGATCTCTCATCCTTAATCAAATCCTCAATGGACTTGCCTTTCAGGTCATCTCCGTGAGTGAAAAGGACCATCATGTGTTTACCAACATCTTTGCCAAAGAGTGTTGGCAGCATCTCAAACAACATAATTTCTGCTTCAGAGATCCTGTTTATTCTCAACACAATGATGAAGGCATGCAGTCCTGGTTTAGCCTTTTCTACTGACATCATGATCTCCCTGAAAAGGTGTTCAGGATCTTTATCAGTGGTTCCTGGAGTGTCGACCACTGTGACCTGACGACCCTCCACTGTGGCTGTTTTAGAAACAGCTTCTGTACTTACTCCACTAAAGCCACATCCTGATTCAAACTGATTGGATCCCATTATGGTGTTTCCTGATGCACTTTGTCCCTGTCCAGGCAGACCGAGCAGCACCATCCTCCTCGCAGCACCAGGAGGATCGGACACCACTGAAGGAAAGAAACAAAACGTTTTACATATTTTGCATTATTTCATTACTCACCGTCTCACCATTATTTCAATACTCACCGTCACTGAGGTGACCGGACTTCTTCAGCAGATGTCGGACTTGTTCCGGTCCTCCATTTTCATTGTTGAACACATGATATCTTCCTTTAAATCTTTCAACAAGTGTTGGAAGAGGACTCTCTGGATCGTCATTGATGAAATCATCCAACTCCATGTCATTGAGGGCATCCCCTGATGTGAAGAGCAGGTGACAGTTGTCAAACCCCTCATCGCCAATGACTCTGATCGCTGCCTCCACAGCGTTTTTCTGCTCAATAGTGAATCGATCTATTTTAACCACTATTAGGAACAAACAAGGTTCCTCGGACTTCAGGAGATCTTGACACAAGGTTCTAACCTCCTTCTCGGATCCTAATATTCCCGGAGTGTCCTGCACTGAGATCTGTTTTCCACACACCCTGTCAGTTTGTTTAGAGACTTCTTTTGTCACTGAGGTGAAGGAACGTTTTGACACAAATGCTTTTCGTCCCAGGATGGTGTTTCCTGAAGCACTTTTGCCAACACCTGAGTTTCCCAGAAGGACGATGGTGAGACCTGAACTTGGACCTGAAGCCATTTTTTTTTGTCAGCCTGAAAACAATGTAAGAGAAACAATGTAAGAATTATGGACAACTGTTTTTTTAAAATAATTTCTCTCAGTTATGGTAAATATGGTCAGTGACATTGGAAACAAAGCAACATGTTGTATTTATTGTTACCCTATAGTCCAGTGCATTAAAGGATTACAAATGTTTGCACTAATGTACATCTTTCACTGTAATATATTCATATATAGTTTGTGTTCGGGCGGCAGACACCCTATCCGTTTTTAAGAGTGCGCTTAAGACCTTCCTTTTTGATAAAGCTTATAGTTAGGGCTGATTAGATTCAGCCCCTAGTTTTGCTGATATAGGCTTAGTTTGTCGGGGGACATCTTACTTCTTCCTTCTCTCTGTCTATACCTGTGTACTCTCATGTTCCGATTAACCCAGCTTCCCCAAATGTCTTTCTTTTTGGTGTCTATATACGCCGGGATCCTGAGTCATGGATGGTCCTGCGCTCCTCTGTCCTGCATCGCGAGCCCTGGATCTTGAGTCGTGGCTGTGGTCCTGGATCATAGGTCCTGGATGGATATCCTCGTGGATTCATCTTCCTATTATACACACATGCATTTCCAAACATTTGGACTACCTATGTTGCAAATGTATTATCTTTTCAATTTACACACGGCATCTATTGCACGTCTGTCCGTCCTGGGAGAGGGATCCCTCCTCTGTTGCTCTCCCTGAGGTTTCTCCCATGTTCCCTTTAAACTGTGGGTTTTCTTCTGAAGTTTTTCCTTGTACGATGTGAGGGTCTAAGGACAGAGGGTCTAAGGACAGAGGGTGTCGTATTGTCATACTGATATTCTGTACACTGTGAAGACCACTGAGACAAATGTAACATTTGTGATATTGGGCTATATAAATAAACATTGATTGATTGATATATTCATCCTCATCCATTTTGAAGTGACTGTTATTTGGTATATATTGATTGTTGTGCCTTTATTTATTTATTTATGTGTGTGTGTATATATATATATATATTTTTTTTTTTGTATTCCTCTGGATTGTGGGAAACAGTATTTGGATCTCTCTGTCTGTACACACAAACTGAAAGATTAACAATAAAGTTGACTTTGACTTGACTTACTAGTACATGTTTAAGCTGTTTTCACTTTCAGTTTGTTGTCCAAACAAACTCTGATCATTCTGACCTGTCCAACTTCATTCTGTTCGATCAGTGTTTAAAGCTGCTTGTCCAGTTTTGTGCAGGCATGTTGGGGACTTCTAGAACAAGTTGGCTTCTATTTAAAACCTCTGTGTCTGATGGGTACAATATGGTGCTGATATGATCTACCACACCTTAACTTCTCCCAGATTAAACAAAAAATAATAGACATCTCTTATATTATAAAACAGTCTAGGGTAATAACATGTTGAACAGTCAACCAACCCTGAAGAAAGAAAAAACCTAATAAAACAGATAAAAAATGATGGGAATCAAAAAAAAGTATTTAACCCTTATGTTGTGTTCGGGTCTCCCGTGACCTGTTTCAAGTTAAAATTATATAATAACTACGCTATCGGAACAAGGCTTAATGATATCCTCCACAACAGATATATAAACACTACTAAACTGATTTTGACAATTTTAGCCGAGTCTGAAGGTCTATAATGTGTATATTGTAGTGCCGAGAGATAGGGAGTCGGAGGCGGTGTAATGGAGGTACAAAGCTTGCTTTAATGAGCAGCAGAAATGTAGATGTTGTTGGGTCGCAGCCCGGGACGACAAGAGAAAGAGCCAGGAGGGCACACAACATATATAGATAACAACACATATATGTCCGTGTGGAAACAATAGCCCCAACTGTAGTTCCATGTATGAATTATGTCCCAGTGTATTAATAGGTGGTCACCACACAAGCCCCCCCAGAATTCAAACATGGCAAAAAAATCCTCGAGTCCGTGGAGGAAGCACCACAGGGGCCGAGGAGGGTGGGGCCGCAGGTGAGGACCGGGCCATGGAACGGGCCACGAAAAGGGGGCCGCAGGGGCCCTAACGAGGGCGAGGGCACCCACACCGGGGGCGGGCCGTCGTAAGGGGGCCGCAGTAGGTGTCGCGGAGAACCCAGCAGGAAAGAGCGCAACCCGGCCGCAGGCAGACGCACAACGGCGGCGGGCACGAAGTCCTCGGCAGGCGTCGAGGTATCCCCGGAAGAAAGGAGCAGTCCCCCCGGGAGGAAGGAGCGCAACCCGGCCGCAGGCAGACGTGCAACGGCGGCGGGCACGAAGTCCTCGGCAGGCGTCGAGGCATCCCCGGGAAGCAGGAGAGCAACCCGGCCGCAGGCAGACGTGCCGCGGCGGCGGGCATGAAGTCCTCAGCAGATGTCGAGGTATCCCCGGGAAGCAGGAGAGAAACCCGGCCGCAGGCAGACGTGCTGCGGCGGCGGGCATGAAGTCCTCAGCAGGCGCGGAGGCATCCCCGGGAAGCAGGAGAGGCCAGACAGGGTCCCGGAGCGCGCCACCCATGGGCCGATGGAGCATGGGCGACGTCCGGAACTGTCGAGGCGAGAGGGGGTCCAGGAGTGCGCCACCCAGGCGCCGATGAACGTGAGTGGCGTCTGGATATCCCCGGAAGGCAGGAGAGGCCAGACAGGCTCCGGAGCGCGCCACCCACGGGCCGATGGCAGCATGGGCGACGTCCAAAACCGTCGAGGCGAGACGGGGTCCAGGAGTGCACCACCCAGGCGTCGATGGAAACGTGAGTGGCGCCTGGAACCGCCGTGGAGGTGGTGAAAAAGGTGAGAGTGTCCACATGAGGTCAACCGGCTGGTCGAACCTCCTCTCCGGCACCAGAAAGAAAACAAAAACTCAAAAGGGTAGATAGCCGTTAGCTGGCAGCCATCGGTAGCTGCTAGCCGTAGTTAGCCAACGTGGTTAGCTGCTAGTTGTCGTTAGCTAGCGCAGCTGGGACGTGCAGCCGCACGCCCCGAAGAAACCCCACGAGGCAGCAATCGGGTTCATCCCTACCCAGCAGGTCGTGCATCGTCCCCTCTGTAGTCGGAAGGCAGATGCGGGAATGACGAGCAACATCCCCAGCCATTCGAAGAGGCGCGCACCGAGCCTCAGTCCGCGTGCCTGTAGCAGCCACGGTCGACTCCAAAAAATCCCCGGCATTTCGAGAAAGAAACCTGAGTTTCCTTTGCCGTGTTCGGGTCCGTCTCGGAAACTTCCCAAGACGCTGTCAGGGTCACCAGTGTAGTGCCGAGAGATAGGGAGTCGGAGGCGGTGTAATGGAGGTACAAAGCTTGCTTTAATGAGCAGCAGAAATGTAGATGTTGTTGGGTCGCAGCCCGGGACGACAAGAGAAAGAGCCAGGAGGGCACACAACATATATAGATAACAACACATATATGTCCGTGTGGAAACAATAGCCCCAACTGTAGTTCCATGTATGAATTATGTCCCAGTGTATTAATAGGTGGTCACCACAATATATATATATATATATATAGTGTGTATAATTTGGTGTTCGGGTCTGGGGAGACCCAGCAGAATTGTTTTGGGTGACTCGGGGTCAAATTTGGGCCCAATCAAGATTAATCTTTGACTTTAGACGCCCCCCCTCTCCCCCTCTTCTCTTTTTGATTATAATACTGATGAACGTTCAGAACAAAGCACTTTGGCAACTTACCACATACGTTTTAAAATGCTTATTCTATAACACATAGGTTTGAGCAAGCTCTCTGATTGGTCAATAGGCGTGTTTGATTCCACGATCAAACAACGATCAAATAGAACGTGCCTAATCACAAAGTATCCAGTGGCCTACACACGACACTAGCCTACCGAAACTACTTCCATGAGCCTACATCGTGTGGTTTCCATAGCGACGTTTAGCGACACACAGCCGTTACACTGTTATACATTGTCTCTCGTTGGAAATCGGCCAGAGAAATCATGTCCGTTAGTGGACATAAAAACGAGTCATCGCTTCGCAGCTACTGGGCTCCATCTCTAGACAACAGAAAGATGTGGAGCAACGCGCTTTTTGCCGGTCCGGGACACGCCATGAAACGGCCACTGGAGGAAAGGTCTTCCTATAACGTAGTCCTATCCGTGAACACCACAGCACCACCTGCAAAAAAGTCTGGCATGGAGTTCATGGAGAGCTGTTTCAAGAATTGCATTTTTAATGGCAGCATCCACCTTCATTCTGAACCCAAATTGTTTCAGCACCATGGACAGCCTGATTTGATTTGTTCCGCTAATCCAGGGGTGGGGAACCTTTTTCCTCTCAAGGGCCTTTTCAATGTTTTCAACATCCTCCGAGGGCCGTACAAATTATTGACCTCTGCTTAAAAATACAAAAATCACAGCCCACTCATTTCACCTTTCTTTCATGCTGTGCAAAGAAAAAGCAACCTCTTAATCCAGATATCTTGCCATGACTCACGCATGCACGTGCACGGTTGTGGCATGACCACCACAACAGAAAGATATGGACACAAGATGTGTGCAAATGTATTTAGACTCCTGTGAACATGATTTAAGTGGGGGGGGGACCTAACCTCCTCTAGGGGGGTCCGGGGGGTATGCTCCCCCGGGAAGATTTGTTTTTTAAATGTTGAAGTTAAAAGCATCAATCTGGTGCACTTTGAGAGCAACATTAGGAGATCTATGGATACATCTCTCAACACCCAGATGAAACTGTAAGCAGATTTTCTTTTTCTTTATGGATATTTTACAAATCACTCTCCTTTCAAACTGTATTCTTGTTTATTAATTAACAACTTTGTTTTACTGTCATATAGTATTTTATACCTGTTTACTTTATTCTCTTATTTGTTTTATAACTATAATGATCATATAAAGATGTGCCTTTACCTCACTGGTTGTAGAAAAAGCTTATTATATTCGTTAGCATAGCTAGCTAACCAGATGCTAATAACAACAAAGTTATTGACTGTATGATCAGTATGACAGATCGCCACTGGGCTTACAACTAAGACACAGCCACGCAAAAACTGCAGCATGTGTACGGCTCCTTATGGGTACTGCAATTTTTGGAAGTGCCGGAGCGGAGCGGCGTTCTGGTGCTCTCCGTCAGAACTGCACCCCTGTCAGACGAGACATATACCACGTGATG